CGGTACCACAAAAAATAAAAAAAATTAAAAAAAATGGCTGGGAATGTGGCTCAGTGTGAAGGCCCTGGGTTCAAGTCTCCATATTGAGAGGAAAAAAAAACAAAAAACAAAAGCAGAACTTCATGGTGTATCTGTCTAATTATACTATGAATATCTGCCTTAGTTATTTAATTCAGATAAAAAATGGGGCTGGGGATTCTAGCTCAGGGGCATCGCGCTTGCCTCACAAGTGCAAGGTCCTGAGTTTGATCCCTGGCACACACACACAAAAAAGGACGGAATATGACGGTTCAAAGCTGGTTGAAACATAGTTTTACAAACTTATTTGTCAGGAGAGAAAATAGATTAAAAAGAGCCAAGTGTGTTAATGCACACCTATAATCCCAGGACTACGGAAGTAGGAGGATCTCCGTATGTTCAAAGCCAGCCTGGGCTGTATAGTAAGTTCAAGGCCAACTTGAACTACATAGCAAGACCCTGTCTTAAAACAATAATAATAATAATAAAAATATCTAAAAAGGGAACCCATGTCAGAGTGGATTGCTTCGAGCTGTCGTTAAGGCTTGCATCTAACCCTGTGCAGAATTCGGTCAGCACTGAGGCCGTTCTTGGTGTGGCCTCATGGTGTGCACTTTTCGAGCCTGCGGACTGTGCATGGTGCCACTTCTAGTCTTCAGCTGTGACCATGCCAAGCTGGGGAGGGCAGCTTCGTCTGTCCCATAGACTTGTCCCCTAGATCAGCAGCATTCTCCAAGCACATAGCAGCTTTGTGGTTTTCTTCGAGCTTACATGAATTAGCAGCATTTGTAAGACTCAAATGTTAGAATCTTTAGGGTTGAGAAGAAACTAGGAAGAGGTGTTTATTTTGCAATCTGGATGATGCTGCGACTATTGTGATATTTTTTCAGTAACAAGACCACTGAAGAGTTTTCCCTGTATGAATCAGAGTGGATTTTCATCAGGAACCTCAGGCATCCCTATGCACCCATCACGCAGATTGTCACAACTGTGCCACTCGTGGTGGGATAGGCCTGCCCTGCCTGGGCCCCAGCAGGGGACAGGAATTTCCTGGTGCTTCATATAAAATACATAATACAGTTAATGTGTATAAGCAGCAAACTTCCTTTTTAAGTCATTTTTACTTCTACACAGGTGTGTCAAACCAGCAGGCCGCAGGCTGATGCACAGAATTTCCCCCAGGCTGCTGTCCCTGTGCATGGCCCTATGGCGCTGGCCCACATCAGTGCTGGATTTTATTCCAGCTGCACTTTTTCATGGCTGAGGAACCAAAACACACTAGGGAGATGGCCAGTAAGTATTGGAGTGGACGCTTGCCTGCATCCTCCAGCCATTTCCCAAAATAAAACCCAAGATTAGTAAACAGTTTGCACCAGGTGTTGTCACTGGACAGGGTTCAAGGAGTTCCCCAAACTGGAGATGGGGGACCACACCCATGCAACAGATTGAAAGTTCCCTGACTCCATCACAGATAAAGATATTTTCAAGATTTATCAGCCAGAGGCATGAAGAGGTTTATTAGGCAACATTAAACCAGTCCTCCTCAGAGAATGGAGGACGCACCTCGGGACAGAGACGCGCTCTTGTCTGGGGTGGACAGCCTGTGGGCTCGGGGTGTCCTCAAGATGGGGGACCTAGGGCTGCAGCCAGCCTAGGTTAGAAGGCTGCCATCTGTGTGTGGTGCATCGCAGCTTCCAGAGTTCTGTGGCACCAAGTGTAATTCACGGGTGAAAAGCTGAGCCAAGCGTCTTAGGACCCTGTTACATCTCCTGAAGGTAGATTTTTACCTAGGATTTATTTTTTTTAAATATATATATTTATATAGACATGCACATGAATAAAAGAATTAGAGACATAAGCTTAGAAGGAGAAAGCAAATCAATCTATTGGAAAAGGAAGGGAAATGGAGAAACAAAATCACTTTATTGGAAAAGGAGGAGAAATAGAGAGATAGAAGCTACCTTAGCAAAGTACTTAGGGGGCCCCGAGCCGGAACTCAGTGGTCTTTGTGCTTAGCCTCTTTGATTACATGGCAAGAAAGCCTTGAGAGCTGTTCTAACTTGAATGGCTCTCTTGGGCTCTGAGACCCCTGGTTTGGCCATTGCCCCTTCTGTTGCCTATGTGTACATTCTCGAATGAGCCCTTCTGTGGTTCCTCTTGTCCGGGTGTTTATCTTGTGACGTTTACAACAGAACGACATTCATGAGTTAGTAAAAGTGGTACATGTGCATTTTAATGTATTACTATGGTGAGAACATAACAAAATACGTGTGTACATGTGTGCATGCATGCGTTTCTAGGTGTTAGTGTACAATATTTTAATATAGTCCCACACACATTTTGTTTCTCTTGAGCTTGATTGGAGGTGGAGGGAGGGGGAACTGAGCCCTGCCCTGAAGTGAGCCAGGAGACTCCTCAGCTGTGTTTGTTTTTCTTAGCTACTGTCTCCAGCAGGGCTTTATCTCTTTATTTGCCAGAAATCTCACTGAAGCCCTTTAACTTTTCCTGCCTGTCCCCCAATTTTCCCTACAACTCTTAGGGGAAAGAAGTATTTTTATTTTTCAGTACTGGGGATCAAACTCAGGGCAAAAAAAGTATTTTTGAGTGTGCCTGAGTGCCTCGTGTCCTAAGGCTGAGGTTTTCCGACTGCACAGTTTTAAAGTTTTGCCTCTCCTTGCCCACTCTCAGCCTGCCTTCATTTCTTCCAGTCCAGCTCAGCACTGTTATCCACAGGCTGGGACCCTCTGAGACTAAAGGGTTCAGACAGAGAAAGTGACGAGTTCACACTTGCACAGAATTTAACACGGAAGTGAGCGACAACGCGGGATGGGAACCGCTTGGTGCAGGACACAACAGCCCCCACCCCTCCACCCCATCACAGATCACATGAGTTATAGAGACACCAAGCCATCTGTACACCTTAAACCTCATCCCTGATCTCATCACATGAAGGTGGAAAGTTGTTCTTTGTCTTAGGTAGCACAGGTTCAGACTGCTTTTAAGAACAAAAGAAGCTAAGTAATCATCGGAAAAAAACTGTTGATAAGGACTGGGGATTTAGCTCAGTGGTTCGGCTACCTGCCTTCCAAGTGCAAGGACCCGAGTTCGATCCCTGGTACCAAAAAACAAACTTTTGGCAGATAGACATTCATTTTCTATTATATATAACAAAAAACCTGACATCATCTTACCTTGGGGCATAGGCCAGGCCTTCCTTTTGGAATGGTTGTTGCGGCCCTTCCTTTCCTTTTGGGATGTGTGCCCTTTCTGGTCCACAGAGTCCTGCAGTACCCCGCCCCTAGGGTGGCCCTGGCCAATCAGCATGGAGCTAGGCTGGTCCCACCCCTTGCACATGGTAAAGAGTTCCGCCGCGGGGGAAAGGACCCTGGTGACATGAGTGCTCATGCCCAAGGCACCTTATGCTCATGAAGTGCACGTGCCCTGGTGAATTCCACTTGCTGTATAAGCCACTTTGAGAAAGATAACCGAGGTTTGTGCAGTTAAAAGACTGCCCATAGAGTCAAAGGAATATTTTGAAACAACAAAAGCCAATGTTTATGAGAACAAAGTAAAACCCTGAATGATAGACCACTCTGTCAGCTGAAAACATCAAGATGGAAAGCTATAGGCCTCTGGGGAGAACAAGGGGATGGGGATTAGAGAGAAGGAAAACTCAATGTTACTGTGCTACCAGAGGGTAGCTGCCCCTGCAGTCAGCCTCACAACTACAAGAAAAAGCACAGGAAGCAAAGTCTATGCCGAAATAACAGTAATCTGCAGGACTTTCAAAACAGCAGCTAAAGTACAGAGGAGGAAAAATACTGTTCAGATAGGTGAAGAGGGCAGCCAGAAAAAGTCCCAGAAGATGTGGTCTCAAAGCAGGCCAAGGGCAGGCCAGGGAAGCAAAGGCAGCAGCTCCTCCTCCCCGGGAACCAGCGCAGGCCCAGCGCCCCTGGCGTGCAGATCGGGTTCAGAGCCAGTGCGAGCAGGAAGGAAGGCACACAGGGTCAGGGAGCAAGCCCTCCTCAGGGTCCCCTCTGCTGTCGCCACTGAGAACATCAGCAGAAAGCATCACCAGTCTAAAGAGCACTGGTGATTGACGCGGGAGACCTGGTGCCAGGTCTGAGCACTGAGCCTGCAAACGCCACAGTCCCTGCTGTGGTCGTGCTGGGAGGTGGGGCCTTTGGGAGACTGATGTGTCATGAGGGTACAGCCTCGCTGTGGGAGCAGCGCCCCTAGGGCTCTCTGGGGGAGGAGGTGGGGATGGGGCATCCCCGACAGCATGACCACCGCTGTTCCTGGCCCCTGGGCTGAGGACTGTGGCCTCCAGAACCACAAGTGACAAGTGTCTGTCATCCACCCGTCGTGGGCTCAGGTTATCTCTTGCCTTAGCCTGAACGGATGGAGACACTGAGCTGGCCACATGACCTCCTGTCCTGGCTGTCCTGGTCCTGGGCCACCACAGCGAAACTGCTCAAGCAGGGCAGCTCCTGCACTGAGAACCCTTTCCCCCAGGTGTACAGCTAAAAGGCCCCACCAAGGTGTGGCCAGTTTGGTTCCTGGCTGAGGCTGCTTCTCCTCTAGCAAGGGTGGCCCCGTCCTCTCATGTGGATATGAGTCCTGCCAGATTAAGCTCTACCCGACCTCGTTCAGCCTAGTGACCTCCCAACGGGCTCCTCCAGCAGTCACCCCAGGGCTCAGGGCTCCAACTCATACACTGGAGGGGACACAGCTGCGCTCAGTGACCTCTTCCAAAACCCAGGAAGAGCCTCTTCCAGCATGGGGATCTGAAGGACAAAGAGAGGCAGCGCCTGAGCAGTCAGGTGCCCTCCTTTCGAGGTGACCTCAGGGCCACCACAGGCCGCATCCAGAGGGCTGGCGGGCAGCCTTTGGCACATACACACTCGCAGACACAGGGGCCGCAGCCCTTAGGGCACCCGGCCCAGAGCAGAGCCCCGACTCATGCGTTGCCCCAGCCCCTGTTAGAACTGGGCGAGCGGCCTCCGTGACTCCGTCAGCTCCTGCACCTGGGCTCAGCTCCTCTGCAAGCGCTGCCTTTGCTCCATGCTTCACTTGTCTCCACTCCTCCTTCGGAGCTGCCTAGTCCTGGTGAAGGCAGATGGCAGCCACTGTGCCCCTCGGCAGCCAGGCCTTTCTGGTCATCACCTGGCTTGTGCCCCAGAAAGCCTTCTGCACCTGCCTGCTGCTCCTGGCTGCAATGCGGCCCTGGGTCAGGAGAATTTCGGCAGCAGTGACTGAGTGGGGCTCGGCTCTGGCTACTTGGAGGGCGTGGATGTCCTTCCTAAAGCCCTTGGCAGTAGAAGATGCTGCCTGCCAGTAGTCATGGGGCAGGACACTTCTGCTCCTGCCTCACCAATGGGCACCCGGATGCCCGCCTGAGCAGAGGCCTTTTGATTGTGAGTTTTCCAACATCTGGGTCACAATGCTGGTGACCACAGCTGCTGCCCGCAAACCTTGGCCAGCAGTTGTGAGCAGCAGGCTTCCTCCTGCTGTAGCCAGAGCAAGGACCAAACCCAGGAGGGTCATGACTCCGGAGATATGGCGACAGCTGGCCGTGACATTTGTCTTGGAACTGTATCGCGAGTTGCATCAGTGTCACTGCAAGGGTCCCGAGATTCTCACTGATCTCTTCTTGCTGCCAGTTCCATCTGGGAAACTTTCAAAAATGCTCTTTCTTCAGCTGTTAAATCTCCACCTTATAGACCCCTGTCTGCAGCAAGAGAGGCGTCACCATTGTCCCTGTGGGAGTGAGAGAGAGGCTTGCTTCGGTCTCCAGACAGAACCACCCGACCCTTCATCCTGCCCATGTGTGATCTGGCTGCTCTGCCACTCCCAACTTTGAACCCTTCCTGCATTTTGCAAAATGTTCCCTGAAAAGTCCCAGAGCATCACAGAGGAGTTCAGCCTTTCCAGAAGCTCCTGGTTCTATGAAGACAGGAAACATATGAGGCACAGGGACTGGCCAACAGGAGCAACTCAGCTCTGGCCAAAGAGACCCAGTGGGCAGACTTGTCCTGAGAGATGCTGCCAGCCTCACCCAAGGACCAAGAGCACTAGGAAGTGCTGGAATCCTGCTCAAGAGAAGGAGTGTGAGCCCACGAGAGAGAGAACTGGGGAACAAAACGGAGCGGTGGCCAGGTATAGGCAGGGTGTGGGGAGCAGAGGCAGAAGGCCCAGGTATAACATTCCCTCTAATTTAGCTGCTGTGGCTGTACCCACCCTGCCCTGAGGAGCCACACACTGAGTGGGCAGGGTGACCGCTGATGAATGACTGGACAGTCTCCCTGACCACCTTGCACTGGCCCTTCTATAGCCGGGACTAGTCCTTCATGGAAGAAGTGTAGGGCACAGGGCTCTCTTCCCCTGGCATTTCTCAGGACAGTGTTTAGGGGTCTTCGCCAGCCCAGTGGACTTTGGCCTTCCAGGAAAGCAGTGTCAGGAAGAGCAAAAGTGCCTCCCTCAGGCACATTCACCTGCCAAGCGCCCTTCTCAAGCGTTATTTCCTGCAGGGTGAGCAGAGGAGCTGACGACACAGGTGACGGCCCAGAGCAGGAGATCAGAGCTCAACAGAGCCCAGGGAAGGGTGGACTCACCTTCTCTGCCCTCCAGGGGAAGGATTCAAAGCTCAGAGAGGAAAGGGGACCCTCACGAAGAGGCAGAGGTCACTGTGGGTGCAGGGTCCCTCAACACCCAGTGCTTTCTGCTGCTCCCCTGCTCTGGGCACTAACATCAGGGCTCCTCACTGAAGCACAGTCCTGACTCAATATCCACAGATATGGGCCCCTGGGCCCCTGTGGGTGCCAAATCTGAGGATGCTCTAGTCCCTTCTATACAATATGTACATCGAAGTAGAAATCATCTCTAGATGACTTGTGATACCTAAAGCAGTATGAGTGCCACATAAACAGTCGGTATGCTGCTTGTGCAGGGAATTGGCAGTAAGGAAAGGATGGTCATGTTCCGGCAGATGCAGCCATAGTGGACCTAACCACACGGTGCTCGATACGAGGCAGGTGCAGCCACAGAGGTGGGTCTGGGACCTGACGCACTGGCAGCACGTGTGTAGATACTCAAAAGCATTTGTCTCTTAGTCTCCCCTGCACACGTACACACAGCTCCTCAGAGGAAAAGGTCAGAAATCAAATACACCAGCAAAACCCTCTAGTTTAACAATTCGACGAACTTGGGCACAATGATCAGTGAATGAGTGGACATAAGTCAGTTCGGGGAGCAGAAGGTCCCTGGGGCTGCAGTGGGGCTGGGCAGCGTGAAGGTAAGGAGGTGGCCCTATGAGGGACTCCACTCTGTACAAGTGTCACCATTGTGGCCCAGCCTCGGCCCTGTGTTTCGTCCAGGAAAACAGAGCAAGACCGAGTGGCGATGTCACTGCGGACAAGAAGGCTCAGTGCACTCATTAACGCGCTGTGCTGATTTGGGTGATAGCTAAAGGAAGCCTGGCTCTCTGGCCTTCTTACTTACATCAGAATCCCAGATGTGGACCCCTGTGCCCAGGACATCCTCGATCCAGCAGCCCTGTCTCCCTCCAATCCAGTTCTGTGAACTACTGCACATGAAGTCCCTAATTTGCCCATTAGCAATAGCAATCACCCGTGGTTGCCCATTTACACTGCATGCTGGTGGTGATATACCCGCTGATTGATTGGCAGTTGGCCTTGACTTCTCTAGTCTGTGGATTCTAGAGAGTTTCGTTGATGGGATGTGGACCGAGAAGAGCTCCTGCCTTCCTGGCTGTCAGTTTCTCTCCTGGGAGCCCTAACTGTGATTACCACGCACTCAACTGAGTCTTGATTTGCTCTTCAGAATATTCAGCTAAGCCTCATGGACAGCTTTTTGCCTGGAAACCTACCTTCAAGTGCATACCAGAGCAGTGAGAAGATAAGCCTGCTGCACAAGTAACACTGCAGGAGTTCAGAGAACCATTGTACTGATCATGCCCAAAGCAGGCTGCGAAGAGTGAACCCCACAACTGGCTGTTTATAGAACTGGTTCTGGCCAAAGCCTATGTGCTGAGGTCAGAGTAACTTGCACCCAAATTCTGTCCCACAACTCCAACTTTCTGACTAGAAGGACAATGTTCTAATTGCAACCATTTATTTTGTCTATTCTGTTCCTGATTCAAAAATGCTTTGTCTTGTCCTTTATGAGCCTTATTTACATTAATTTATATAGAAACCATTTGTAGCTTGCCTTTAACCCAATTGATTGTCAGTAAAAGTCAGTGCCTGAGGGCTGAGGATTTGGCTCAGTGGTTCTGCCACCTGCCTCACAAGCACAAGGGCCTGAGCTTGATCCCCAGTACCAAAAAAAAAAAAAAGTCAGTGCCTGGGACTGGCCAACACCTTTGTCAGTCACACGCACACTGGTCATCCCGGCACCCACTTTCTCTCTTAGTTCTGTCTCATAGTGCATTTTTTTTCTCAGGCCTGCATTGTATACTGAGCAGGTGGGTACTGGAACCTACCTGCAGGGGTCTCCAGCACTGAAGCATGGTTATTCCTAACCCTAGGGACATCTGCAGCCCTTCTGCCAAGGACTGAGCAGTGGGATTACCTCTGCAGACCAGCACCAGTCTTGAGTTCTTTCCCAGCCTGGTTGTCAGACAGTCTGTCTGGCTCCAAACCCATGTTCCTATAAGTCCAAAGGTTTTCCGGTTAGAAACATGGAAGACAAGGTCACAACACATTCCATAAACATCATGAAGTCCAAGTGTGGAGGGATTTTAGGTCATGCAGAACTGAAATCATAAAGAAACACATAATGACTAAATGTTTACAGACCATTGGTTTTCAATTTTATATCAAGGGATAGTAAGTGTACACGATGAAGTACTCAGCTCAGTGCATTTTGAAATCTGTTTCAGAGGGTAACAGTATGCTACCCCCAAACATGTCGCCTTCACATAAGGATAATTTTGAGCTGAAAGAAAATGAGAAGAAGCAGATAGAGTGAACTCCCCTGCAGTACTCAGAGGGTGCTGAGACCGAGGCTAGCACCAAACCCCATGCAGAGCGGCCTACCTATCCTGTCCACAGCACTCTTCCTGAGTCAGGCTCCCGGAGCCAACCCTGGACACTGTCCCTCTTCTGGGTGTCACTCTGCAGTGTCCTGGTCCCTGGCAGAGGATGACCTGTGTCTCTGTCCTCACTTCTCTGAGGGCTGTGGCCCAGCAGAAAGCTGCGAGCAGCTAGGCTGCTTGGACAGAGCAGGAGCAGCCAGGCAGTCAGGGCCACTGCCCAGAGGAGAGCCCGGGCACTGCAGCGGGGACAGAGCAGGACCAGGAGACTGGGCACAGGCCCAGACAGACTTCCAGGAAGACACGCCTGCTCTTGACTTTCTCTTTTACATCTCTCTCCAGTAGAGGCTTCGTGAGCTGAGAGGGCAGAATCAAAGTCCTGGCCTCGCGGAGGGTGGTCACACACGCCTATGATCCCAGCACTCGGGAGGCTGAGGCAGGAGGACGGCTGTGAGTTCGAGACCAGCCTGGACTATATAGTGAGTTCCAGGTCAGTCTCAGCTACATACACCCTGTCTCAAAAAAACAAAACAAACCAAAACAAAAACAATAACAACAAAACAAAGTCCAGGTCTGGCTAAACTCAGTGTTGAGTACTTGCCCAGGATGTGAACACAAGCAAACACACAAATAAACAAAAGAGCCAGAGGCCGGAGTCTCCATTTCTCTTCCCAGTTTAGTGGCAGACACCTAACAGTGGTTGCTTCCAGGCTAGGACCCTGAGGTCCAGCTGGTCACTTAGAGCTATATACAATGAGCAGCTACTCAGCTACCATATGGGCCTCTGTTCCCCTCTGCACTGTGGGCATTAAAATGTGGTATATACTGTGTACACGATGGAGTACAGCTCAGCCGAGAGCAGGATAGATGTGAGTCATCTTTTCCATGAGACTGTCATGCTAAGTGACAGAAATCACACACAGAAGGTTACACATCACAGTTTCTGCACTGAGAAACCCAAAATATAAATAATCTAAAGAGCAAAATAAAAGAGAGATGGTTGGAAACCGGGAGGTAGACTTTGTAGAGATGGAGAAAAGGACCCAGGGAGGTGAGGGGGGGGACATATATGGGATTCTGATGTACCACAAACTTATACCAGTGATAAAAGTAGCTCCTGGGCAGAGCCCCATGAAAACCTGTGAACAGCTGCGGTGCTGTGAAATCCTCGTCCCTGCTGCACCCTCCATGGGTACAGGTCTTGTCACCCCGTGAGAGAGGTGGCACTGGACAGCTACTCACATCTGTAACTCCTAGTGAGGAATGTTCTGAACACAGAAACTTCAATTACTTCATTTGGTGGCACAGCCTGATCTCAGCTCACATGAATTTATTCATGGTTTCTTGTATTCTGCTTAATTTGGACATTCATAGATTTTCTGGAGGAACGTTGGTAAGTTTGACTCAGCCATGTTTCCGCTGCTGGAATACAATACCAGCCCCCACTACCCAGAGGAGGACAGGTTTCCTTAGCTCAGTCTCAGTGGGTTCCGTCCATGGTCTGCCTGCTCCAAGGTAGAAGGGCTTCGTGGAAAGGCCTGGCAGAGGACGGCTGCTCTCGCAAGGCAGCCAGGAAGCAGAGAGACCCAGGGACCAGCAGCAGCCAAGCTGCTCCTACAGCACACTCAGCCAAGAGCTCACCAGTGGGTGAATCCATGATGCAGTCGCCTTCGCCCATGAGACTTGGGGAACTCATAACAGAGTTCCACAGTAACACCCACCCTCTACTACTTTTCTAAAACTCCAACAATTGGGAACTCAGAAATGCATTAGGCCCCCATGATTTGAAGCTCAGGTTGTGGCCCCAAAACTTCCATTTTGCAAGTGGAGAAACAGAGGCCTGCCGAATACTGGCTGCTCTCTAGGTTCCAGTGCTGAAAGGTGGAGCCAGCTTGGGCTCCATGCCTGGACACAAGCATGGCACGGGACTGTGTCTGGGACACGCGTGTCTGCCCAGCAGCTGTGACACACCAGGCTTGGAGACTACACAGTGTGTTCATATCTTCAAGTCCGGAGCCTCCTGCCCTCCTGGCTGGTCCACACTGGACCTGCCTTTTCCTCTTCACAGGGACCTTTGAGAGCATTGACGTTTGGTGCTGATTTTTAAATTCCTACTTTACAGGTGAGGGAAACAGTCCTGGGAGCTTCATGTCACTTCCCCAGGGCACAGACAGAGAGTATGGCAGAGCCAAGGACCACTTCCAGGGTCCCCACAAAGCCCCAGTGCCCAAGAATGTGACGGGCACCATTGATCAGAGGAGAGGGTCCCCAGCCTCAGGCACAGCCTGCTTGCAGTCCGAGGCCCCCACCCACTTGGCACAGGGTGTTCCCTGCCCTGTTCCTCGAGGCCAAGAGTGAGGACCGGGGCCACCACCTTCCGAGACCAAGGACAGAGATGGCTGAGGTACACAACCAGCGGAGGCCCAGCAGGGCCAGAGAGGCGGGAGTTCCTCTCTCTGCCACTAGATGGCAGAAGGGCTCACCATCAGCCTGGGATAGGTCGCCTTGGGCTTTGGACCTGGGACACAGCACAGGGAAGTCAGGGACACAGCGCTTACTAGCTGATCTTTGATGGGTGCTGTCAGGAGGATGCTGTCGGGAGGACCCAAAATGAAGGCACTCGAGCCGCACAGCCTGTACTCATGGCTTGAATCTGGTGTTTCCTGGCGGTGTGACTTTGGGCAGGTTGCCAACCCTCTCTGTCCTCTGTTTCCTTGAGTGTGAAATGGGGCTGCTGGGGAGCCAGGAGACAGGCCCATGGGGAGTAAAGCAGGCAGAGCTGGTGTCTGCCTGTGTTTTATCCACGGGGTTTTGCTTCTGCAGTGCTTATGAGTCGCACGGGCATATGTGGGTGTCAACTCTGGTGTGCTCAGTGTGTAGAAAACACTGGCCCTCCTGCCTTGCTCTACCCTCTTCCAGGAACCTTTCCCCTCCTCTAGTAGCCTCTTCTCCTTTCTGTCTTTTCTCTCTTTTTTTTTTTTCTTTCTTTCTAAAATTCTTTTTCCAAGTTCCTCATATGAGAGAAAACTGGAGTTATCCGATTTTCTGAGGCTGGCTAGTTCACGCACCGTGATGTCTCCAGCTCCGTACACGGCCTTCCCCGTGAATGACACAGCTTCATCCTTCTTTACAGCTGAGTAGTACTCATCTGATGGCACCTAAGCTGTTTCCACAGCTCAGCTACTGCAAACTGAGCTCAGTGAATAGGGGTCTGCAGGGATCCAGATGGTGTCTGTGCCTTCCTTTTACCTCTCCCTCCCTTTGGCACCTTCTCCTCTGGGTCAGAGCCCGCTGCACTCTGCATGTCAGCCTGTCCATCACTTCAGCAGCATCTGCCTGGGCTTTGGAACTACGGGTCACCTGAACCTAAATTCACCCAACCCTCCTCATCTGCCTTCAAGGCCGAGGGCAGCAGGACGAGATATTCCAGGCTCTGAGAAACTTAGCAGCTCTACAGCATCCTTTTCCAAATGCCTGGAGCGA